AGTCTCACGGTCTCTCCTGCCCGGGCTGGCTTTGAACCTCGATCCTCAGATCTCAGCCTCCTGAGTAGCTAGGATTACAGGCGTGAGCCACCAGCGCCAGGCTGTCCAGGACACTCTTATCTCCAATAAACCACCAGAAAACCAGAAAAGACGCTGTGGCTCAAGTGGTAGAGCGCTAGCCTTGAGGTGAAGATCTGAGGGACAGCGCCCAAGCCCAGAGTTCAGGCCCCACGACCAACAACAACAACAAAAAAGGGCAGGCAGCAGATCAGGGGCGTGGGTGGGGGGCTGAGGGGGAGGATGGGGGAGGGGGAGGGGTTGGCTTGGTGGTAGAGGCTTGCCTAACATCTGCTTAGGCCCTAGATTCTACTTCCAACATGTTTTTAGTTTCATTAGAGGACCAAGCAGGTAGTAGCTGAAGTGCCCTTTCTTCCAGCAGGGGGCAGCAGAGGCCACAGCTGGGCGCTGGGCCTCTGGGCATGCTGGGAGGGAAGGTGGGTTATGCACCTTGGACTGGTTCCTTGGTTTCCCTGGCCTTTCCATCTTTCATCTCTTTTTCTTCCCTCCTTCCCTCCCTTCCTTCATTTCTTTCTTTCTTTCCTTTCTTGGTTGTGGGGCTTGAACTCTGGGCCTGGGAGCTGTCCCTGAGCTCTTCAGCTCAAGGCGAGTGCTCTACCACTTGAGCCACTTCTGGTTTTCTGGTGGTTAATTAGGGATAAGAGTCTCACAGACTTTCTTGCTCCGGCTGGCTCTGAACCGGGATCCTCAGATCTGAGTCTGAGTAGCTAGGGTTACAGGTGTGAGGCACCAGCGCCCGGCCTGGAAGCCGTCGTTGGTAGGTGTGAGGCCTGTGCCTAGGATGGAGCAGGTGAGACCAACCAGATCCTTCGCTTCTCCCCACTCCTTTCCGTACAAAACCCTGCCCTCCAGGCAGGGTCAGGCCCAGAGCCCAAGCACAGCTGCCTCATGACAGGGCTCCACCAGCCTGGCCTGGGGCCCCTGCTAGGAGAGCTGCAACCAAAGGCTCTGGTCTCAGGATATACCTGAGTAGGAAGCGAACAGAGGCCCAGTACTGTCCCCCGGCCTGCAGCCTGCTGGGCCTGCCCATTCCAAATTTATGCCATCACACTCCCTGCAGGCAGGGAGCAGGATGCATGCCTGCGGACCTTTCTCTTCCCACCTCTCTTCCATTTTTTTTTTTTTTTTTGGTTGTTCGTGGGGCTTGAACTCTGATCTTGGGTGCTGTCCCTGAGTGCTCTACCACTTGAGCCACAGCACTACTTCTGGTTTTCTAGTGGTTTATTAGAGATGAGTCTTACAGACTTTCCTGCCCAGGCTGGCTTTGAACCTCAATCCTCAGATCTCAGCACACTGAGTAGCTAGGATTACAGGCGTGAGCTACCGGCATCCGGCTTTGTCTCTTCTAATTCTTAAGGGTCATTCCTAGAACTATGTCTTACCCTGAGATGGGTGACTCCATGGCTCCTTGCAAAAATCAGGGTCCCCCAGAAGTCTCCCCACTGATATAAAACCACCTATCACTTTCCAGGAACATGGGACAGAAAGTCCTTAAGTTCCTTTGGCCATCAAGCTACCTAAAGGTCACTGCCATGAGCTACTTTGGTAGATCTGGGACTAGACCCTCAGGAGCCCTGGCTCTATCCTTATCTGAAGTGAAACCTAAAAGTTCCTGCTCTCTCCATCCTACAGAACTGATTACAAAACCTTCACATCCTAAGCAAATACTCCCTAGTCGTTGATTTTGCTTAAAGACTTCCAAAGCGGACTGGGCATAATAGTATACATACGTAATCCCAGCTATTCAGGTGACTGTACGGATCTCACGCCAGCCTAGGAAAACTGAAGAGCAAGTTAGTGATACATATATCCCATATATCCTCTCAGCCGATACACTAGGTATGGTGGTGTGGACTTGTAATCCCAGCTACCCGGGAGGCATAGATAGGAATGGGGTCTGAAGGAAACCCCAAGGTAAACCCTCAAAAAAAAAAACAAAACAAAAAAACCCTACCTAAATAATAAAGCATGACTCAGTGGTAGAGCGCCCCCTAGCAAGTGTGAGGCTGAGCTCAAACTCCAGTAACCCTCCTCCTCCCCCCCACCCAAAAAAAATCTTTCAGACAGTTCTTTTTTGGCTGTAACTTGATCTCCTCCAGCTAAACCTAAAATGTAAGTCCCCAACACAACATGTTCAGGTCCTCAATGCAATTTAGGAAAAAAAAAAAAAAGAGGAATGTCTCTGTCAAAGTAAAGACAAGGATGCCTTTAGTGGAAATGTTGCTGTTTGTAGCGATGGTGTTTCACTGTGTTGCCAACGCTGGTCTTAAACTCCTGAGCTCCAGTGATCCTTTCAGCCTCCCAAGTAGCCAGGACTACAGGTGTGCACTTACTGGGCCAAGCAGGAATGACTGTCTTGATTCAGATGATGTTTTTATCTTCAGATGATCGATAGTGGGTGTGTTTTGAGTGTTCTTAGGAAAGATTTATTAAAAGCTGCAACTCTTTCTGGGAACTTGGCTTTTATTTTCCTGTTTTGTTTTTCTGTCAAATCCAGAAATCTGAAACCACTGGTCAGAGTCTCTGGGAGCCATTATACACAGAACCAGCTGGAAGTTCCTTACCTAGCTCCACCAAGGAAAGAACAAGGGGTTACCACCTGTGCTGGTACCAGGCTCATGTGGGCATCATGTTTGGGTGCTGGCCACAGAGCCAGTTCAGCCACTTAGCTGTGATCTTTGTGCCTCATTTTCCCCAGCTGTAAAATGGGACTAGACCTACTTCCGGGTGTTTGTGAGTTTAGCCCTTGGATCCGTGCCCAGCACAGCGTTCAACCAATGTTGATTGGGGGTTGGTTCCACAGGCAACACGGTATGGGAAAGCAGAAGCACAGAACGCAAGCCTATGTACCCTGGCTACCTTCTGGAAGGCCCCACAAATCCCTAGGGCAGGAGCACCGCTCCCCAGCCCACTCCTCAGAGCTACTTTTTGTTCCTTAAAGTGTTCCAGCCACCTGTGAAACCCCAAGCCCGCTCATTCTCTCCCAGCTGAACCTAGCGGCCCACTTCGGCCTGGTTACTTGAAGACTTCCGGGAGCTACTGGGGGCCTGCTTTCAGAGGCCCTGCTCTGGAGGCCTGCTTTCAGAGGCCCAGCTCTGAAGGTTTAAAAGCTACAGAAAATTTGATCAACTCCCCCACACTCCAATAAAAAGCCCTTGGGAGCCTGACCCTGAGTTCAGTGTAGGGGTGGACAAATCCCAGGATCTTAGTGCTTAGGTGCCACCAGGAAGCACGGCCAGGGAGACGCCCTGCTGTGAGGCCCCTCGTGCCCTGCGCCAAGTCCACGAATGAAGGGCTGGGGTGGGAGGAGGCGGCCCACCCTCTGGGACCACCTGCTCCCGCCCAGCAACCAGTCCGGGAGCCCATGGCTCGTTACCCCAGCGAAGGGGGGGAGACACAGAAGCCCGGCCAGAGCACTGGAGGGTGGGGTGCAGAGGAAAGACCTGGAGGGGGGCGGCCAGAGGCCTCGTCTCCCCGCCGGGGCCTCCTCCCCCCCGGCCTCCCCCCCCAGCCTCGCGCGCA